AAGGCTCCCCTTGTCCCTGTGTCTGGTTCCAAGCATTTGCTAACCACCACTCGACATAGAATTCACATAGAAATTTATCTTGGATTCAAGTACCTAATTTCCTTAGGCTGCAAAGCTTTCTTTGAAGGAGCCCCAGTCGTTTCCATAATTCTCATTCATGCCGTTCTTTGCCTTTGAAATATCGCTGCCTCAGAATCAAAGAAAGATTGAATTAGATGGCACTTGTTATAAACTCAAGCAAATCTGATGAAAGAAGTACCCATTGACCCTCTCCTGTGTTTTTTTTTTTTTTTTTGTCCTTGGGAGTTTGAAAGACCGAACTCGCATGAGCTTGTGCTCTCCTCCACCTTTTTCCAGTTGAACAATTAACTTGCCATTTTAATTCAAAATTGATGGAACATGCCTGTATTGTTTTGCTGCCCTATTTATTCGCTTTTAAAAAGTGGACTGAGAACATCTCCTAAAGCGCCAGCACTAATATTTCAGCAATAACCCAATGATCATTAGAGCAGAAAGAAGACTTGGGGGGTTGGGGAACCCAGTAAACAGATCTTATGAATGCTGCACTATGCAGATTTAATTCAGATTCCACCCTGCCCCCCCTTTCTATTATTAACTAATTTTTCTAGAAAAGAACCAGATTGTCACACTGGAGTAGTTAAGAAGATAATTTCTGTCGTTACTAATAGAGAAAGAGCAAACATTCATTATAAAGACAAATGAAAATTAAGCCATGACGTTCTGAGATTATTTAAAACATAACTCATCCTTTGAACATTTGAAACCTTGAGTTACTGTGTGGGTGGGTGTTATATATATTTTAAAAAGATCTAAGAATGAATGGGGAGGATGTAACACATGGATGGAAGAAAAGATGCTTGTTTCCATAATTCCGATTGTACACACACACACACAAGTGCACTATTAAACTTTGGGAAAAGCTTAATGGCAGCATAGGACAACCACCATGGGAGTCAGAGGGGTGGGAAGAGATTTAAGCAGCTCAGCACAATTACAGTGGTACCTTGGTTCTCAAACTTAATCTGTTCCGGAAGTCCGTTCCAAAACCAAAGCGTTCCAAAATCAAGGCACGCTTTCCCATAGAAAGTAATGCAAAACGAATTAATCCGTTCCAGACTTTTAAAAACAACCCCTAAAACAGCAATTTAACATGAATTTTTACTATCTAATGAGGCCATTAATCCATAAAATGAAAGCAATAATCAATGTACTGTACTATAAAATAAATAAGACAGTACTGTAGATGATAAAAATTAAAATTATTTTTTTTTCTTACCTGCACTGATGATAGTCATTGTTTGGATGGGGGGGCTTTTATCCATTTTTGCAGTCACACAATCATTCAATCAGTAGCTGAACTGGGTTCCACACAGTCACAAAAACAAATTAATCAAAAAAGCCTCAAAAACAAAAACGCAAAATAAATAGCAAAAACAAAAGCGCCAAACTTAATCCCTTCCAGAAGTCTGTATGACTTCCGAAATGTTCGAAAACCAAGGCACAGCTTCTGATTGGTGCAAGTGCCCCGGAAACAATAGCTGACAGCTGCATCGGATGTTCGGCTTCCAAAAAACGTTGGAAAACCGGAACACTTACTTCTGGGTTTTCGGAGTTTGAGAACCAAGGCGTTTGAGAACCAAGGTGTTTGAGAACCAAGGTACCACTGTATCCAGCAGTGAAAAGAGTGCTGGGAGAGAAAAAGTGGGAAGCACCTCTGATCCTATCTACTGCCATTTCGGGCCCCACCCACTTCTGAAAGAATCCTGCTCTTGATAGTGGAAAAGCGAGGGACTCTTGCTTTCTGATGATATGCACACACCCCCAAGGCCTGTTGGAAATTTGAGAATGTTCACCCCGCCCCCGCCCCCGGTATATATCTTTATTGAGTTTACAAGAACACAAATTAAAATGAAAGCAGTGGAAACTCATCTGGGAAAATACAAATAGTAAAGCACGAACATATGAGAAGGGAAGCAATTTAGTAAGTATACATTATAACTTCATCGTTAATATCATTATCTAAACATTAACTTTTACAGGGTTTGAGAAGGAGAAGTGAATTAAAAGTTCCATAATCAGAAGAACGCTGGGGGTGGCAAAGAATAATCTTTTTTCAGGCTCACATAGCTAATGAACATCTTCCATGTTGTCTCAAATTAGTCCTTTTCCTTTTTGTCGCATGATAACTTTTATTTTTTTGTGTTCATTTCTCTAAAAGAGTGCATGGCCAAACTCTCCGGTACTGCTGATCAGTATGTATGCAATGAAATGTCATTGAGTTCTGTGTTGTGACCACTCTCGTGGCTGAAAATGGATGGTTCTTTATGACTGAAATCTAAACTTGCATCAAGAAACCAATGTAACAGTGTCAATGTTCCGGAGCTGTACCGCCAGGCCTTTGGTCGGGGCTCAATCTGACCCCTCTCCTTTTACAAGACCCTGCATATAAGTGGCCTCTCTAACTCTTCTCACCGGCTGATACAAATAGCTGAGCCTGGTGAGTACGGAAGGTTCCCAACCCATATAGTAAAGGTAAAGGGACCCCTGACCATTAGGTCCAGTCGTGGCCGACTCTGGGGTTGCGGCGCTCATCTTGCTTTATTGGCCGAGGGAGCTGGCGTACAGCTTCCGGGTCATGTGGCCAGCATGACTAAGTTGCTTCTGGTGAACCAGAGCAGCGCAGGGAGACGCCGTTTACCTTCCCGCCAGAGCGGTACCTATTTATCTAATTGCACTTTGACGTGCTTTCGAACTGCTAGGTTGGCAGGAGCAGGGACCGAGCAATGGGAGCTCACCCGTCGCGGGGATTCGAACCGCCGACCTTCTGATTGGCAAGTCCTAGGCTCTGTGGTTTAACCCACAGCGCCACCAGCGTCCCTATTCCCTACCCCTATAGTTATAATTTGCGGGTAGCCATCTGATCTTATTTTGATTTTAATCTGATTTTAAGCTGTATCTCAGTTGATTGCTGAATTTTATGTTTTAATGCATTATATATTTTGATGTTAGCCACTCTGAGCCCTGTTGTGGCCAGGGAGGGCGGGATATAAATTATTATTATTATTATTATTAATGCTCAGGAGGGGTGTACCCGGCCAAAATCACCATGTGGGGAAAACTGTGAAGACAGCCAATGCCTCTATATAGCTCCATCTTTATTTCAGACATTGTGATATACCGATATATCATGATGTTTAGCAGGTGATATATCATGATGTTGAAAATCAGATATTGCCCATCCCTACCTCATGCATGCCAAAATTGGGTCAGGGTGTGTGTGCAAGAACCCATGGAACAGCATGCAGTGGAGGAGAGGACAGTTGAAATACTTGTGCAGATGGGACGATGGGAAGAGCACGGTGTTGAATTCTACCCATTGCATATTGACCTGGAAATGTGCATAGTTCCCTCTTCCTGGAAGGGTTATGTGCACTTTCCCCAAGAGGCCTGGTGAATGTGCACACTAGCCAGTTGTTCTGCACATTAATCACTCAACTTACATTCATATATATATAATGATTCTGAAGGCCTTGGGAAAAAGCAGACTTAAGAACAAAAAACCTATCAATTAATGGTTATAACTCTCTCCGGGGTTGGCCAGTTAGTGAATAAAAAATAGATTTGCTTACTGCCTGATTCCTTACAGCATCCTTTTCCTGGTGTAACATCACACAACCTTCAAGTTTTTGATGAGCACAGCATATGGGTCCATGTATTGAGCTGGCCTGTGCAAAATATCTGCTGCAAGGTTTGTCAGAAGGATAGGAGGAGTTCTTTGATCTTTTCAAATACGCTCCCCCACCCTTGGCCTGGATAAAGTGCATGCAAATCATAATTAAAATCATGTCAGCTTTTTCATTTCCACCCTCCCCATCTTTCTCCACTTCTTTTGCTAATAGGTCTTCTCTCGCGTTTGGTTATAGATCCACGTGGCACAATTCATTTCAGCTACGGAAGAACAATTCCTTCCCTTTCCTAAGGCGTCAAGAAATAGGCAGTCCAATGCTTTTCATACCATGAATACAAATCAGATATTAAATAAAAGATTAAAAGAAAATCTGGGCAGCTTCTTCTGGGAACCACTTCAATGGCCCTTAAAGGAATGGGGGCCATCTTTACCACTGCACACCTTCCTCCATCACTTCCTGTAGTCATGACTTCCCGGAATCCCTCTTGCTGTCAGCGGTTATGAGATCACATAGAGCAACAGAGGGAGCTACTTGATACCAAGACAGACTATTGGTCTATCTAGCTCAGCACTGTCCAGACTGACTGGCCATAGCTTTATGTGGTTTCAAGTGGTGAATGTTCCCAGCCATACCTGTAGATGCCAGGGACTGAACCTGGAATATTCTGCCTGCAAAGCAAGTGTTCTTCTGCTGAGCTACAGCTCTTCCCCAACACACAAATTTCCTAGCAGCTAGGATGTTTGGATATTTTTTTTTTATAATACTGTAAATTGCTTTGGGGTGCCTCATGGGAAGTGATGCATAACTGAAATAAAGAAACAGCAACAACTCTTGGACTATCATGGCAAGACTGATTCCTAACTTTCGGTGTGGAAAATAAGAGCCCATGTTTAATGCCCCAATGCTTTTCCCAGGGTCATAACTCCTCACCTGCTGCTAATATCACATATGGTCCAAGGTGCTACTTCCATCCACCACTTTTAACAAAGGCATTTGTACTTTAGGTGCAAAATATACTGTTGCAGTACAGTTGTACCTTGGAAGTCGAACGGAATCCGTTTTGGAAGTCCACTCGACTTCCAAAACGTTTGGAAACCAAAGCGCAGCTTCTGATTGGCTGCAGGAAGCTCCTGAAGCCAATCAGAAGCCGCAGAAACCCCACCAGACATTCGGATTCTAAAGAACGTTCACAAACCGGAACACTCACTTCCGACATTGCGGCATTCGGGAGCCAAAACGTCTGAGTACCAAGGCGTTTGGGATCCAAGGTACAACATCCTTTAGATGTGAGAGTAGCTCAGCTGCTAGAGCATGAGACTCTTAATCTCAGGGTTGTGGGTTCAAGCCCCACGTTGGGCAAAATATTCCTTGCAGGGAGTTTGACTAGATGACCCTTGGGGTCCCTTCCAAATGAACCTCAGCAGCTGTGGCATTTCAAGTGGCAGATTCTGCCCTGCAGCCAGTGCCTTAGTGGCCATGTGTTCACTAGAGACAGTCCTCCCACGCTTTCTCCCACTTGGAGGGTCAAACGACATGTGGTGTGATAATTCAGTTATTGACAACTTTTTTTTATTTTGCAGAAAGCAGCTGTCTGGGGTGTGTGTGTGTTACAGTTTGAATTGAGGCTGTTGTACATGGGGTTAGCTAACCCTTTGCTGCCAGGCCTTGACCTTGGTCCAAATGCCAACTTGGGGAGAGTTTAGTTGGGGCAACAGTGCAGGAGAAAGGATTAGACACCCTCTTCCAACACCACAGTTCTAATCCAATTGCAAGGTGGAGGAATGTACCTGCCATTTTTAAAAAATATAGCATGAAAACAGAAACTCTCACATCATGTACTGTTTGACCCTGAGTTCTATATCAGTGTATCTGAAGCACACAAAAGCTCATACCAATAACAAACTTAGTTGGTCTCTAAGGTGCTATTGGAAGGATTTTTTATATTTTGTTTGACCCTGACTTTTGGTATCTGGAGACTTTGGAGGAAGGATCTGAATGGTGAAGAATGACAGCTGTGGCATCTCCAGCTCGGCAGTCCAACAAACCTATCAAGTTTCGCCTGTAGGCCTAGATCAGATGTGGATCTGGCCCATGGAGCCAAAAAGGTACCTTACTTGCGTCTTAGAGGAAAACTTGGCACCTATCATTTTCCCATTCCCGTGCTGCGAAAGCCTATTTGATTGCAGGGTATCTGCTATTGCAGAAGATTTTAGCCTGCTCTGTATTTTAAGGATTTGGGTTTTAATTGTATTTGCCTTAGATGCTCTTGCCTGAAGCCAGTTTCCTACTGTGACTGTTTAATTTGGATGAGTTTTAATCGTATGCGACCCACTCTGGTGCCAGTTATGACGAGGGGCGGGTGAGGGTATTTAATAAATATTCTTATTAAGTAAACATTTACATTGGCTGGAGTCTGCCCCATAGCCATGAAAGGGAGCACACCTTAGGGCAGTTCACATAATCAAGCTGTTACTGGAATGTACTGGGACCAGGTGACCAAATCTAGGGGGCCAAAGGCACCTGGGACCCCTCAATATTTGCTTCAAGGGAGCTGGGCCCCTCAATCTTGAGGCAGCCCTGTGCATGTTGTGTGTGTGATGTCACACCTGTGCCACAACCTCCTCCTTTGCACACATGATGTGTGTTGCACATGTGATGTGTGCCATTATTGGGATCAACCCAGTGCCTCTCACTGGGAGACTGTGGGTAGAGAGAGAGAGAGAGAGACAGACAGACAGACAGACAGACAGACAGACAGGCACAGAGAGAGAGAGAGAGTTCAGTTGGTGGAGGTGCACACATTTCGTTTATGAGCTTCAGGGAAGTCTGGGTTTTGCGAGAGCAAATGATTTGTCATTTGAACTTGCGTTAACTTTTGAAAGTGCACCTTTCAGCAGGACTCACCATGCAACATTTATGAAACCCACACAAGCCTTTTGGAAGAAAAGCAAGAGTGGAAGTTTTAGGTCGGATATCTGAGATTTCCAATAGGGCTCGCAATGTGTCTGTAGAACAAGGCCATTAAAAGTGATTTGGTGTGACATTCCTAGCACGCCACAAAAGAAGGGAGAAAGGAGCCTTTTCATTAACAATAACCCTCATGCTCTTCAAGCTCCTGGAGCAGTGCTGCATGGGACGAGGTGCCTCTTCAGATATGGTCACCTTCTGCATCTCCTTGATGCAGAGAGGCAATGTGTAATTAGGAAACTGGCTAGAAACATCAAGTTAATATTTTTCTTTCCATCCCAGCTCTGTCCCCTGTGATCACAATAGCAACTCCCAGATTCTCTCCAGCTGTGGCAGCTGTGGCAGGCATGGTATTTATTCATTTAAAATCTGCCTTGAAACATTCCTCCATTAAAAATACTTTAATGCTGCATTTCAATGAAAAATTGCCCAAATTACATTTATATTTTGAGTTGTTTGAATTGATTGTTGACTGCCGGTTTGTTTAATGGATCTAATGTCACTGTGTGCTTTGTTTTTATTTATTTAACAAAATCACCATTAAACAATTACAACTAGAAAACAAATAAAAGCAGGTACAATTAAATACATCCATCCAGCTAGTGATCTTGGGTTTCCCAGCAACCTTATCCTTGAGCTACCAAATGCTTGCGTGAAAAGTAAGCAGTGGCCATGAAAAAGGCAAATTCAGTGCTATGGATCATTAGTGGATCTACATTGTTGAGGCCCTGAAGCTTGATCTGTCATGGGGGCTGGCAGGCATTGGAGCCAGCAAGAAGGTCATCTTCAGTGGACTTGTTCCATGACAGGTCACTCCACCTTTACAGCATCTGTGCTACTGACGCCCAAATTTTTGGCTTGTTGAAATATATGCAACACAAAACTGAGTTGTGCAAATCAAATTGGCTCTACTAGACTCCCCCCCCCCCAAATAAAATTAAGCAATGTGGACTAAAGTCACTTTTGGAATCCCTCCAGGATTGGGGCCCTGGAGCTTAAGCTTCATTAGTTTCATAGTAGATCTGTCTCTGGTAAACATCCAATGAACCTGAATGCTGGGAGATTCAAGACAGATAAAGAAAAGTGCATCTTCACACAGTGCATAGTTAAAGTATGGAACCTGCTCCTTCAGAAGGCAGTGAAGGCCATCAACCGTGGTGGCTTTGAAAGAGAATTAGACAAATTCATAGAGGAGAGAGCTAATGATGTCTACTTGCCGTGATGGCTATACTCTGCCTCCATGGTCGTAGGCAGTAAATGCTTCTGAATACCAGTTGTTGGGAAGCACAGGAGGGGAGAGGACTCTCGTGCTCAAATCCTGCTTGCGGGTTTCCCTCAGACATCTGGATGGCCACTGTGAGAAGAAAGTGTTTGACCAGAGGGGCCATTGGCCTGATCCAACTGGTTTTCCTTTTGTTTTTATACCTCACAAAGCCAGCACCCAGAGGTGTGTGTTTCTACACACATACACCTCTGTCCTCCATCCATGCAAACAAAATGCTTTATTATCACAGTTTGGGGATACACTCCTGCTAGGGAACAACAATCAAGGAAGATGTGGAGCAGGACCGGTGGTGGATGTAGCCTGGGAGGGGATGTGATTTAGTGAGAGTCCACAGGCTAAGGTTAAAAAGGTAAAGGTAAAGGACCCCTGGATGGTTAAGTCTAGTCAAAGGAGACTATGGGGTTGTGGCGATCATCTCACTTTCAGGTAGAGGGAGCTGGTGCTTGTCTGCAGACAGCTTTCCGGGTCATGTGGCCAGCATGACTAAACCGCTTCAGGTGCAACGGAACACTGTGATGGAAGCCAGAGTGGACAGAAATGCCGTTTACCTTCCCACTGCAGTGGTACCTATTTATCTGTGTCTCTGAAAATTTTTACACAGCACTTGGGAAGACAGGCGAACCAATATCAGTGTACTGGAAGAAGCAAAGATCACCAGTGTTGAAGCAATGATTATTCAACATCAACCTTGTTGGACTGGTCATGTTGTGCAGATGCCTGATTATCGTCTTCCAAAGCAACTACTCTATTCCAAACTTAAAAATGGAAAGCGTAATGCTAGTGGTCAACAAAAGAGGTTTAAAGACTGTCTCAAGGCAAATCTAAAAAAATGTAGTATAAACACTGACAACTGGGAAACACTGGACTGCGAGCACTCCAGTTGGAGAACAGCCTTTACCAAAGGTGTCATGGACTTTGAAGACACTCGAACTCAGAACGCAAGGGAGAAACGTGCTAAGAGGAAGGCATGCTTGGCAAATCCACAACGTGATCAACTCCTGCCTAGAAACCAATGTCCCCACTGTGGAAGGACATGTGGATCCAGAATTGCCCTCCACAGACACCTACGAACTCATTGTTAAAACCGTGTTTATGGAAGACAATCTTACTCGGCTACAAGTACCTATTTATCTACTTGCGCTGGAGTTGAATAGAATCCAAACTGCAGCAGTCTGATTGGTCCTAGAACAACAGGATTCAGAATGCAGCAGTCTGATTGGTCCTAGAACAATACAGCAGTATGATTGGTTGGCAGGAACCACCCAATCATGCTCCAGATAGAAGTGAATCCACAACCTGATTGGCTTACAGTAGAATTCCGGAATTAGCCAATCATGTGCAGCCCATTGTGTAAATAATGTATATAAAGCAGATACTTTGAGGGGACATTCATTCATTCCTCCTCACCACTATGAACTGAATAAAGAGCATGAAATCACTTTGCGACTCTGAATATATTTCACTGGCGACGAGGATGGGATCCCGCTGAGCTGACTGCCACACACAGCACCGCAGCACCGCCTCCTGCCACACTGCTGCCTCGCACCGTGTATCCAGGCTTCAGCTCCGGGACACAAGGAACTCAGAATGGCAACCGACAGCAGTTTCTCGCCGTTCAACCCAGCATCTGGAGACTGGGAAGCGTACGCCTCCCGTTTCACCTTCCTCCTAGAAGCCAAAGGGGTCACCGACAAAGAAGAGGGCGACCAAGAAGAGGGCGATATTCTTCAGCGTCTGCGGAGAGGAGACGTTTGAAATCGCCCGGGCTCTCCTTGCACCTGAAGACGTCGCTACTGTTCCATGCAAAACAATAATGGAATAGCTGAAGGGGCACTTTTCGCCACAGCCCTCAGTGGTGGCTCGTCGAAATGCCTTCTACGCAAAGCGGCAAGCTCCTGGGGAAACCATAACTGGGTTTGTGACCTCTCTCCGCCAAGCCGCCCGGTTCTGCAACTTCTCAGAACTGGAGAACATGCTTCGTGACCACCTCATCGGTGGCCTGAAGGATGAGAAGCTGCAACGACGCCTCTGCGCTAAGAAGGACCTAACGTTCCAGGTCACTCTGGAGGAGGCCCTGGCAACGGAAGCTGCCGAGAGGTCGACACAA